TTTAGTATTCTTGTAGACCCTTTTGGGACCAACAGACTTTTTGGTCCTGAAGTCTCATAGTCGCTCTCCTTTCTGGATATCTATCAAAGTTCTTCCGGTGGCTAGGAATGGTCTCCCTAAAATGATAGGAATGTTCTTATCAGCCTCAAAGTCTAAGATGATAAAATCTGCCAAAAATATGAACTTGACAACTTGCACTAAAACATCCTCAATCTTTCCCTTAGGGTACGCAATGGATTTGTTGGCCAATTGAAGTGTAACAGTGGTAGGTCTAGCCTCTCCTATGCCTAAGGTATTGAAAACGGATAAAGGCATGAGGATGATACTAGCACCTAAGTCGCACAAAGCTTTCCCAATCTCTTTCCCACCTATAAAACAAGGAATAGTGAAACTTCCGGGGTCTTTAAGCTTAGGAGGTATCTTGTTGGTCAAAAGTGCACTACATCCTTCAGTAAGAGCTACGGTTTCATACTCGGTCAGCTTCTTCTTCTTACTTAAGATGTCCTTGAGGAACTTAGCATAACTAGGYATTTGCTCRATTGCCTCAACAAGTGGTATGTTGATGTGCAATTCTTTGAACACATCCAAGAACTTCTTAAAATGCAATTCCTCTTTCTGGTTCCTCAACTTTTGGGGGTAAGGAACATAAGGAGGAACTGGTTTTATCATATTCTTGCTTGGATGTGTTGAGTAAGATGGGTCTTGAAACCCTTGAGTCTTTGTGGTACACTTTGAGGGTTTAGATGAAATCTTAGCATCAAGCTTAGGGGTCTCTAAAACCTCAGTCGCTTCTGCTTTTTTTAGAACATCTTCTGGAAACAGTAAGGGATAGTCTGATCTAGGGGGGACAGAAGTTTAGAAGTTATATTTCTTAACTATGAAGGTGAAGTAAGATTTCAGAGAATGTCTGAGCTACATCTATGTCCAATGGGTCATCTAGTTTATCTAATGCTCTGGATAGATGATAGCATGCCAGAAAAAGTCGTGGACCTGAAGATACGAAGAGAATGCCTACGTCGAAAAAACCTTGGTGAAGATGTACCTAGCTGCATAGATCTAGGTTTCCTATATTAGTTTCTCTTTGTAATTTTGTTCACAATTTTTTTTGTAAACCTATTTACTATGTCTACTTTCAGTGATTAATCTTCTAGTCTGTAAGTATTAGACATGTACTGAACTACTTGTAATATTTCCAATGATTATAATATAAGTGTTTCTTGTACTTCACTGAAAAAGATCCTTGAAAAAAGTAATAAGGACGCAAGTCTATGAGTTCCAGTGTTACTTTTTACATTTGCTGACATTTCATAAGTCGGTGAATAAGCTTTCAGTTTCAGTTTCTATCCTTGTAACTTTTCTTAAATATGACTTAAGAAAATTCTTCAAGTAAAGACTAACTCACTGAAAATGATCTCAAAATAGTAAAAAGGGCTATGTACTTTATATGTTGTTTTTCCTTACTAATTATTTGATAAGACAACCGTCTTTATGTAGTCTTGTTATCATCAAATAGGGGGAGATTGTTGATCCTCTCTTCAAGTGATTTGATGATAATCCCTTTTATTCTATTTGAAGTATTTTTGTTTCTGTCTTTTCAGTTCTAGCGATCTCCACTGAGTTTGTTCAATGATCGCTGAGGAACTTGTATTGTAAAATTCAGTTAGCGACAGCCATACTTCAAGAAGATAACACTCACACCAAAGAACCTTCAGCAAATGTCGAAGACTGAAACTGAAGATTAGAGACTGGCGAGTACGTGATCTGAAGCGGTATTCAGTGATTACAAGCCTATCTACATATGTGTGAAGACTGCCCAAGCCTCAGCGAATGCTGAAGAGACCTTCAGGTTAATTCCAGCATTCATCGATCAAATGAAGCTTGCCAAGTACGATTGTTGTTGTCTTGTCCTTATACACACAAAGGACAAACCCATACCCTTTCTAAATGTTAGTACGGTACGGAGCCGACCAGTTGACTCTATTACCCACCAACTTTGTGAAAGGATGTCTGCTCATGAATAGGCTTTTGTACTATTCCGTTGTAGCAAAGGACAAGCCTTCTCCTTAAGTCTTGACACGTGTTCTAACCCTACCATGTTGCATTAAATGTGCATTTAATGCAATGGGTATAAATAGATGTGTTCCATCTTCATGTTGAGATAACACTCTTAACCTAAACCTTACTCTGAGCATCATTGCGCTAAAGTAAAAGAACACACATCTAAGAACAAATACGTTCATCTTCAAGAGAAAGTTAGAATCCCTTTCATTGCATTCTAAACAAGTTCATTCCCAGAAAGAACTTACTTTCTTCTATTTCTTAAACAACAAATCTTTTCTTATTTGCTAAGATTTAGTGTGTAAACTTAAGATTGTTTAGATAGGTTTTCTTACCTTATCTTTCCGCAAATAGTTTTGTATAAATTTTTATTGATCTTCTCTTATCAATATATATTTTAAATTTAAAAATATTATGTTTGTATTCACCCCCCCCCCCTTCTACAAAATGTTATACACATCTTGTAGACCCTAACGGTATTGCATTCTAGCTATATATATATATATATACATATATATATATATAGAGAGAGAGAGAGAGAGGAGCGATTAATTGCAAACCACCCTCATTTGTGAAAACCCTACAAACCAGTCTCATCCATCCATTTTCTTAATAATGGTCAAGATTAAATAGTGTTATATTAGGAAATTATAAAAAAAGTTTAATTTTTAGTTAAAAAAGGGCAAAATCGGCGAATCACCCATAAGAATCTGTTTCACTGTATGAAACTGCATTTCATCACTGTCCTCTTCACTGTATACAACTATTTCACTGAATGAAATTGTATTTCATTGTATGAAATTGTATGTCATCACTGTATGTAACTATTTCACTATATGAAAAACATTATTTTATCACTGTATGAATCTGGTTCACTGTATTAATCTGTATTTCTTAACTACATGAACATGTATTTCTTCATTGTATGAATCTGTTTCACAGTATTTATTCACATATGTGAATATGGTTCACTGTATGAATTTGTTTCACATTACAAAACTGTATTAATATGTCCTCTTCATTGTATGCACAAATGATTTACACCTTATATATAAATGGTTTCCATATTTACATTTCCATATTTAATAATAATTAAATCTTTTCCAATATTATATTTAAAAACAATTGATTTACACCTTCCATATAAACGGTTTCTATATTTACGTTTTCATATTTAAAAATAATTAAATCATTTCTGATATTAACCATTATACTGTAAAATGACAATTATACTCTTACTTATTAAAATTAAAGAATAAAAAACGGAAATTTTCTATTGGTCGAGAGTGGTTTGCATAGTTTTCACGAATTAAGCGGTTTGTAATCCTATCAAGTGGTTAAAATCTCATTTTTATCAACAAGGCGCAAACATATGAACATTACAAGTTTGAGTTCCAAATTGATCAAGACTTTGATATAATCATTTTCCAGGGATTTAAAACAATTCCCTACACTTGTTTCATTAAAATATACAAAATCCCCAACTTTGACCTACATGGTTTCAAAATCAACCAAATGCAAAATACTTAAAATGGAAACTTAAAGAAAGTAAAATACATCATTTTAACATGTATATGGTTTTATAAAAGTAATATATGAACTCACAATACTAGGTTCTGATGAAAATCTAGAAAATCAAGAAAGCTTGGGAAAGGAGATGAACACACTTGGATCTTGAAGACTAGACTTGAATCCTTAACCTAGATGAGGTTTAAATGCCCTTAGGTTGGTTGTAAATGAGGATTATACTCCAAAAACGTATTCAATGAAGAGGGAAGGAAGAAATTTGGGAGAGAAAAGAGTAAGATGAGAAAATGAGAGCGAAAACCCAAAAATCGGCTCTTAAAAAATTGGCCAGTGGTGTTGGCTAGTTTCACCGCCAGATAAAATAGCGAACAAACTAGCCCGAGCACTTTGAATAAATCAAACAGTGGTATTCGCTAGTTTCATCACTAGTTAAACTAGCGAACAAGCTAGCTCCGAAACTTGCCCGAGCACATTGAATGAAATCAAACAATGGTGTTCGCTAGTTTCACCGCTAGTTAAACTAGCTCTAAAACTAGTTAGTCTGATGGATATGATTAAACGAGTGGTTACAACAATATCTTTTTAATTAAAAAACCCTCCCGCCCCCTATCTTTTATTCGAAAAATAAACAAAATTCAAGCGAAATAAATTACACCAAAATAACAATCATATTTTTCTCGTTAAATTGACATCCCTATTGATATACCTTTTCATTTGTTTTCCGGTTTTTCATTTATTTAACGTTTTTCTCTACATATGTATGCATATGAAAGGTTAATAAAGACATTTTTCAAAAGTAACCTAAAAAAGGTTAGTAAGATGATCGGTTTTTTATGCCTCATTGTTCATTCGACTTCATCAATAAAATTTGTCAGGTTGCATAACTTCATCCTAACAATTTATATCGGTTGGTCCTAGCTGTAAGCTTAAATCCATTAAACTAAGTACCCTATCAGAATGCGTAAAAATAATTGGAGCTAACAATACGAGCTTTTCAAGTATGTTACCATAACTCGAAAATTAAGGATCACCTTGCATTCTTTTTGCCACGATCCGATTTTGCCCGGTGGAGCTAACCCGATGTACGCACCATTTATTGGCATGTCGTTGTCATTACGAATCTGCAAACGAATAAATTTCAGAAAACTCTCTTTCAAATGAACCAAATAACCAATCTTGACTTTAGCATACCGTAATTACCTATCGCGAACGAGTAGTTTCCCATAAACATTGCCTCGTTCATTTGATTTCGGAAAATCCTCAGATGCCGGAAAACTATAAGGCCAACTCTTCACCTCAATTGTCATCTGATTTGAAATGAAAAATGAAACAACATGAACCGTATAAACCCTAAACCCTAAATCTAACATGGAATATATATTTAATTAATTATTAAGTGCTATTTTTGGTCATTAATTTGGTACCTATTAGGACTGAAAGTCAGTGTAAAATTGTATTCGTCTTGAAAGTTACTATTGTCTATAATTAAAATAGACATCATGTTTGACTTTGTTTGTATGGTTTGACTTTGACCATTTGTGTAATGTTTGACCCTATAAATAGGGTGTTAGTCTTGTAATTGTTGTATGAGCTTCATTGTAAGATTCAATATACGTAAAGAAGATTTGACTAAGTCTTGAACTTTGACTTTTCCTCTCTACTTCTTTCTAGGGTTCTTAACAGAAAATCATATTCTGCCATTATTATTCTTTGAAGATTTCTTGAAGATTGATCATAGGGAAACACAATTGGAATCAGAGCTAGAATTGCAAGAAATCAGATAAGAAATTAATGATTTTGAAGATTTTTTTTCTGAACTTTCATTTTATTTTTGTGTTCTTCATTTTTTTGTAAGTTTGATCCAAATTGTTTTTGAAAATTTTGTGTTTTCGTCGTAAAACCGTAATCTTTGTGTGCGTTTTTGCTTCGTGAATCTTTGTTATACACAAAGATTTGCATTTTGATCTTTGTTTTTCAAGTTTTGCTTGAATTTTGTGTTTTTTTTTTGTTCTTAATTTTTTTTAAAAATCCAGTGTTTTTGATTCATTTTTAGTGTTAATTTTTTGTTTTTTTTTTTGTGTTAAATCGCTCAGTCCATTTTGGCCCATCCGGATTGGGCCCAATAGAGTGTATTGGTAAATCACTCAGGTTTGTTCTTGTTTAACCCCTTCATCGCACAGGATCTCTAAATCGCGTCTTTCAATCGGGTTTCATCTTCTCCAAGTGTCTAAATCGTTCAATCTGTGCAGACAAGGGATTATCAATTAAGCGATTTAGTGTTTAAATCGCTGACTTCTTGAACGATTTAGTGAGTTATCGGTTACAGTTTGAACGATTTAAGGTCTTCCTCGTTCAAAGCTTGATCGATTTAGAGAACATCGCTTACAGCTTGAACGATTTAAGGTCAACATCGTGCAAAGCTTGAACGATCAAGGTGTAAATCGCATAAGTCGTAAGCGGACAAAGAGTAAATCGTTGAATTCTTGAGCGATTTAGTGAGTTATCGGACAAAGCTTGATCGGACTTTTGATCGATTTAGTGTCTTAATCGCACAAATCAGAAGGTAAGGGTCTTTGATTTCATCCTAATTCGCACCTCTTAAGCAGAATTGACCGTATTCGCACATTTCTTGAGCGGATTCTGTCCGAATTCGTATATCAGTTGAGCGGATATTAGCGATTAAGAGTTAGGGTTGAGCGATTTACAACATAGTGTGAGCGATTTAATACTTAGATTGAGCGATTTAGTTCTTTGTTGTGGGCGATTTAGACTCTAGTTGTGAGCGGATTAGAGACTGTATATTGAGTGTTGACCGATTTTGAAGCTACTTTGAGCGGATTGTCTTTAATACAGTGAGCGAGTTTTACCATTGCATTGAGCGATTTAGGTTCAATGCTTGAGCTTCAGTTTTGTCTGTTTTAGATTTGGTTTTTGCTGTGTCTGGCATAGAAGCAGAAAAGAAACAGTAGTTTTAGAATCAGAAAGATCAATTGTCCATTGAGCTCAGAAAATTGATGCAAGAATCATGTGAATCAATCTAATTCTTTGTCTTATCTGTTTTTTTTTTTGGATCATTTTTTTTATCTGTTTTGTGTTGTGTTTAAACTGTTTGAGAATCGTTGAACTATTTTTTCCGTTGCGTAAACTGTTTTTCATTAGTTTTAACTGTCTTTGACTGTTTTTAATTGTTTTCAACAGTTTTGACTGTTTTTACTGATTTTTGACAGTTTTTCGTCAATTATCTGATTTCTCATCAGTTTTTATGTGTTTCTGGTTTTCTTTTTGAGCTTAATTGTTTTTTATTTTTTTTGTTTGATTTCATCGCATTAGATCATCTAATTGATCAATCTTAATTTTTAATGGCAGATATCCTAGAGAAGGAGAATCAAGTGTTGAGAACTCAGATTTCCATGCTGGAAAAGAGTATAGTGGACTATAAAGACAAATATATAAACATGTTTTCTGAGAATTATGCTAATGTGGAAYTTATTGCAARTTTACAAAAAGATCATAAAGYAGCAYTGGAAAGAGTTGAGAATGATTTGAATTTTAAGATTAATAAACTTGAGAAAACTTTGGATTATGAAAGGAATGAGTTAGATGATGAAATTAGAAGTTCAAACAAGATAAAATAAGATTTAGTCAATACACTTCATAAAGCAGAGTCTGAACTGAATGTTGTAAGGAATTCTCCAGAAAAGAAAATTAAAGAGACTGAAGAGCTTGGAGTTGAGAGCATATATTAGGAATGATAATAGGGTACTTAGAGAATATTGTGCTTCTATGGGACTGCCAAAATCGGCAGACCCTACCCAAGAAGCAATCCCCCTTAGGACAAGTGGTGAGGGGTCTAAAGAAAAGAGTGTTGGGGAGGAGACACAAAGGGTTACATCTCTTCAAAGTGTAGAGAGGGAAAATGTAATTGAGAGCCTGAGTAGAAGAGGTAAAAACAAAAGAGAGGCTTTAGAGAGATCACGGTCAAAAAAAGGAGAGGACCCTGCCCCATCCCCAAAAAGACGGGAACACACATCTGCTATCTCTTTACACTCTTTCGTGGAAAGTATTGAAAAGGGCACTGGGCTCATGCCAAATCTCGTATCAACCCCACCAACCTACTCATCTCCTTCTCAAAAGGGAGATGTTTCATCAAACATTTTGGGACAACCAACACATACCCCGTTGGCTCCTCAGTTGGGGGAAGCCAATGTTGAAATCGAGGAACACTTGTCTCATCCTCATCATTCTTTCGATCACATTGAGTCGGGGAGTCCATCCCCTATCGAGCCAAATACAGATCATGAAATTGTTGATCTTTCTTACACCGACACAAGTCTATGTGACTTACCTATACAGGTAGTTTGTCAACCTGTCCTAACACCTATAAACATTTCTTCTAGGGATGGTCAAGGATTGGGTGGATGTCCTGGTCGGATAAACGTCAACAAAATCCCACTACCAAGTACATCTGTTGTACATGATGTGTTTATCACATCATCAGGCCAACCCACACCTGTTGTGGGATTGCAAACAGGGTCATTTGTTGATCCTGGTTTCTATCAACAATTGTCACAAATACAGAGTTTAACAACTTTAGTGACTTTTATAAGGGTGAATTTGTAAAGATTCACTCTAAAATCATTGAATTGACGATTGTAAATCAAATAAGGAGTTTGGAGGAAAATATCACGTCAATGGAGGAAGGAATTGGGGAAAAATTTGAGGACCTTGACAATTATGTCCTTCTAACAGAAAACCCAACTGGAGGGTGTGAAGAAGATGGCGGACACCAACCAAACCACTCTCAACAACTTGGCATCAAACTTTGTCACCAAACAAGACTTCCAAGTGTTCCAAAGCTGCATTCTTAATAACTTTGTGATTCTGTATCGTAGGATAATTGAGATGCAAGCTAAGAACGAAGCTACTCTACTCACGCAACTAAATACCCTTAGGCAGTCTCAAACAGATCACCTCCATACACAAGCCAAAATAGAAAATCCAAGCCAACATCTAAGTGATCCATCTGCTTTCAAGAAAATCCCATCCCTGCCATTCCCAAATCCTACATGCCTAACACCGATGATTTTGCCACGTCTGCTCAACTAAATGAAGTGAAGACAGACATGGTCGATTTAAGGTACATGACGATGTTAATAAGGAGAGACCTGCGGAAGATGGGTTGCAAGAAACAAGCTGAGTCATCCAAAAGGAAACATGATGAAGATGATGACTCTGATGATGAAGAGATATGTACTAATGAAAAGAGGGGTAAGAGAATAAGGCTGAAAGAGCCAACTGCATTGGGAATGGTATCTAGTTTAGATACAACAGTTGAGGAAAACGTTGAAGGGAAAGGTGGTGATGAAGAAAAAATGGATGTAGATAATAATGAAGCAGTGAATAATGAAGCAGAGAAGATGGAAAGAGAGGAAATCGAAACCATTAGCATTCCTAGTTCAGATGGGGAGTTTAAAAACCCAAATGATGAGCTAGAAGACAAGCATGAGCATATTTTTCAAAACTCATGTCTTGCAATCATTCCTTTTACGCATGTCGATTCATTTATTCAATTTATTCAACAAATTTTTTTATTCCTTCAAGAATTCAGTCTCCAGAGCGAAATGAAGAACCAACATTAGAGTCTTCAGATTCAAGTGATTCTATAGGGATAAAAATGGATATAGAAAAACTTGATGGCACTATGGTCTCCTTCGGGTATTTCAGCCACTTCAGCCACATGTACCTAACAGACAATGAGGAGAAAGTCCTGCTTGAACATGAAATTGATGGGAACTGGCCTGGAGAAGTGCATATGATGTACTCAGAGATGATAAACACACTAAGAAGAAATTAGTCAGAGATAAATATAGAAAGTCCAATAGATGAAGTAGCAAATTTTCACATCAGATCCTTTGCTGTTGTGGATTATTTGGATTTAGAAGTAATTAGAGCGGACAGTTGTGTATATCAAATCTCCAGTGCTGATTTTTCAAGGTTAAAGTTACAAGATTAGGTATTTCTGTTGAACTTTTTTCAAAAAACAGACATCACCTCGGCTAAATTAGAGCTGAGAAGGACAATGGGAATTTACATTAGAAACCTGGGGTTATATGATATTCAAGTCGCATTAGATCTAGACCTACCAAGGATTAGGCTTACAACCCTTTGGATGAAACCTTTGACAACATGAAGCTTCTCTATAAATTTGTATACTTGCAGCAACCACGATACCACTTTAAAACTTCATCAATGTTATATGTGCTCAAAGTTACAATGTTTCCTCTGTTTACAACTGAAGGCCTGAAAC